CTGCTGCTCGTATCATCTCCAGGACCCCTTCTGTCCACCACATCACTCCTGTCCTGCAGCTTCCTTGGCTCCCGGTCAAATATCGCATCAATTTCAAAATACTCTTGTCCACATTTAAGGCTATTCATCATCTCTCTGACCTGGTTAAGATCACCGCCCCATCTCGTTGTCTCAGATCTTCTTCTTCCCTTTTACTCTCCGTCCCCCCGTCTTGCCACCATGGGGAGCCGGGCTTTCAGCTGCTCCACGACTCTGGAATTCCCGACCTCCTGATTTAAGCTCAAAACCCACTTGTACAAAATAGCTTATCCCACATAACCTCTCCACTCTGCTATTTTATTTGTTTATGTCTTATGCTTTTATGATTCTGTAAACTTCTTATGTTGCTTTTATTCTACTGTGTACAGCGACCTTGAGTGTTTTGAAAGGCGCTTTAAAATAAAATGTATTATTATTATTATTATTATTATTATTATTATTAAACCTCTGATTCAGAAGGAGCCGCCAACACAGGCAGTAATACAATCGTATTATTTCTGTTGTTTTCTTAGTCATAGTTGTTATTTTTTATACATTACACAAAAGAAAACTGAGCATGAGCCTCACAATCATCTGTTGCATTCAGTCCGATCAGTGAGGAAAGCGTTCCAGATTAAGCTGAAAGTCGGCATTTTAAACGGGATTGTCTGATTTCCAACTCGGAAAGTTGGGGCAGCCTCAAAAACTCCAAGTTAGTAATCCAAGAAGGCAGGAAGTAAACTGTAACTGTACAACGTTTAATCTGTTGTGCCTCTGTGGTGTCTTCCTGACACACTAAATAACGATGCATGGATCAGGCTATGATTGGTCTGCAGCCGAGGTTTTAAGCACAAAGAACAAGTACTGTGCTGAATTGTTCGGTGATGCAGTGATGCATGAATGACTCTACCTCGCAAGGAAGCAAAATAAATCCTGTTTTCCTTTCATTCCTTATTATTGGAACACGCTTCACTCAGAAGTGATGTCAGTTCAGTCACGTGACTTCTGAAGGAACACAGTGATGTCGAACTCTTTTCACCTGGTGGACCACATCAAGCCAGTATCACAGCAACATGTGACACCGGTCCACTGTGAAGTGTGAATGGACACAATGTGCAGAAGTTGCGCTACGAGCAGGAGGAAATATTTAAAGCCACGAAGTCGGTATTGAGCAAAAAACATATTAGTACACTCCAGGGTCAGATTACTGCAACAAACTTCTACATTTCATGTTTTCAAGAGGCAAAGCGTGAAACGGACACTGTGGACCAGAGTGTCTATTACACACTGTGTCAGGATATCGGGTTGACCACGTATAGTTGTAACGTGGGTCAGTTTTAACACTTCCAATTTCTCCAATCAGGGCTAAGTTTCAAATGATGTGACTCATCCTGTACATGCCCAACTCAGTTCTGCTATCACATGTGAAAAATCAGCACATTTTGTCAAACACAGACAATTTAACACGAAAAAAAGTAATTTGTATCCCAAAAAGTAAGTTTTTCTACTTTATTTCAACTTCTAATAGCATTATCTGCTTTGCAGTTAAACTCATCAAACTTAAATTATGTTATTTGTATGTCCATGGGGATATATTCTGTGTAGGTCTTTAGTGCTAATGTTTTAGCCGTTGGCTGTAATGTTAGCTAGTTCATGGCTTTAGGAGTCTGGGTCAGTTGTAACAATAATGCAGATGTTACAACTTACCACACTATTACTTTAACTTATATTAAACAAGTTGGGGCAACGACATCAGCAGAGAG